CGCTAATTGAGGGCTACGCGTGCAAAGAAAACAATAATGAATGGAAATTTATACCAAAATAAAGTGTCGGGCCATCAAAGGACTTCAGCTGTGCCCAGGGTCCCTATCGCTATTTAGTTCTTGGTGAGAAAACATTAAATTAACAGATCTTAATTTGTATCCTTTTGTCACGTTAATGAGAGCTGACAAGATGTACCGCGGGGGGAAAGTCCCCAAATAGGATTGTGGGGAACCGATCGACAGTCACAGCTCGTTACAATAATTAATAATTACAACGACCCGCACTGGGGGAGAGCTAGAGACGGAGGCTCGGTCGTCTCTGAATAAATGATAGGCCCCTCTGAAAACCCAGAAGACGCAAAAGGCGGCAGCTCTGGCGGCCGGGAAGGAGCGGGCTTGGCGAGGCGGAGGAGGCGGCTGACTGCGAATGTTTTTCTAGTGTTTGCCTTAGACAAAGTCCTTGCTTTTTCTACCCAAAGATGCGGTGAAGAGGGAACATGGCTTGGCTTGGAGCCCAAATCCATCCAAGATATCTTTTTGTTTGGATAGAGTGCGTAAAAGGCTTATAACGTCCGTCGGACTTTTCATACGATGACTACAGAAGTGTTGGTCCAAAGTAGGATGGAGAGGTCTTTTAATCCAATCCAGGGTGTCCTCGGGAGTCCCTGGAGCAATCTTACGGAATGTGATAAGTATGAGAGCACCACAGATCTAAGTCCAGCAAACCTTCACGGCAGAGGCCAAAAGGTGTCAGGCATCGGATCTGACCCCAGGGCCTCTGCTGTAGCTGGCGGTGGTTCTACCTGCTGAGCCACCTTAGAACCTTGGATGGCTCCTTGCCCGATCTCATGTGTAATCCTCACGTACACCTAGTTTCTGCTGAACTCTGAACTCCTTGCTCCTGCCTTGAACTTCCTATTTAAGCCACGCCTCTACACTTCCTGTTTGCCAGATTATTGTGCTCCTGCCATTATCTTGCTTGCTGCTCCCTCTGTGATACAATCCGCTCATACTGCTACCCGTGTACCGACCTTTGGCTGCTGATTCACCGACTACTCTCATCGTCTCCTGCTTCATACCTGATACCTTTGGCTGCTGACCTCGGCTTGTTCGCTGACTACGCTTCTGCCTGCTCCTATACTATTACCGCCTGCTTGTGTACCAGACCCGGCCTGTTATACAAGGAATCACCTGCTGCTTCAGCTACTGGACTCTGACCTTGATCATCATCAAGGATTGGATACTGATCGTAAATAAGGAGAACACTGGCAGCCTGACTGGTGACCCAAACTATCACTTTTCTAATCCATTTATTTTCCAAATCGCCATCCAGTGTTCTCTTCATTTGCCATGAGCATATAAGCCCCGATGAAGAAGGGAGTATTGCACCCCCCGAAACGTGTTGGCTTCCTCTTCTGAGCCTAGGCCATGTGCAATAAAGCTTTGCTGGACTCAAGTTAGATCTGTGGTGCTCTCATATTTTTCACATTGCTTGGGGTTTATATTATAGTCTGTGGGCCCACTGGGGTTACTTCAGCTTATTTCCTGTCCCAGAAAGTGAGTAACATTTTTTTCCCACAGCAACAAAACACCTATTCTAGCTAAGTGAAGAATGATTAGATGCGCATTCAGCTTTGAGTACAGTCGCTGTCCCAGTTGGGAAGCCTTCTGCTCATTTCCTGTATCCATGTCATGGGAAATGAGGGAAGATCACTCTCCAGTGGAAATGTACTGTCATCAGTCTCTGCGCTGAGGGTGTTTCCCTTCTGAACCTAGAGTGGTGGTACTTTGCATATTAGGGTGTGACAGGTTGTCACCAGGACAGGAAGTGAGGCAGAAATCTCCCCACAGGGGTCTCAAGTATTAGTGCCTTATAGACTTCTATGAGGCTGGGTCCCGAGGCTGGAGACAATCGGAGGCAGTCCCATAGAAGTCAAGGCGGTACTGATGCATGGGCATGGCCAGGACAGGGAAGACTTCCACTGCTGGATAAAAAAACAATTGCAGAACTGTGGCCACCAGATCGACTTACAGAAAATATCGTAGTACTAAAAATAACTGTTGATGTGCCAGAAATGTAGTGTATGCCGACCTTCCTCATTCACATGAATTACTAAACACATGGTGTCAGCCCTGCCTACTTAATTTCTTATAGATTGCAAAGAACCCAGACTTCTTCTCATCTCCTCCCCCCTTTTCATCTCCATAACCCCTCATCTCTACAACCCCCACACAACTCCACAGATCCGTTCTCATCTCCATGACCCCATCTCATCTCCATAACCCCTTCTCATCTCCATAACCACTTCTCATCTCCATAACCACTTCTCATCTCCATAACCCCTTCTCATCCCCACAACCCCTCCTCATCCCCACAACCCCTCCTCATCTTCACAACCCCTCCTCATCTCTATAACCCCCACTCAACTCCATAGATCCCTTCTCATCCCCATAGATCCCTTCTCATCTTCATAACCCCATCTCATCTCCATAACCCCTCCTCATCTCTTTAACCCCTCCTCATCTCCATAACCCCTCCTCATCTCCATAACCCCTTCTCATCTCCATAACCCCTCCTCATCTCCATAACCCCTCCTCATCTCCATAACCCCTCCTCATCTCCACAACCCCATCTCATCTCCACAACCCCATCTCATCTCCACAACCCCTCCTCATCTCCACAACCCCTCCTCATCTCCACAACCCCTCCTCATCTCCACAACCCCTCCTCATCTCCACAACCCCTCCTCATCTCCACAACCCCTCCTCATCTCCACAACCCCTCCTCATCTCCACAACCCCTCCTCATCTCCACAACCCCTCCTCATCTCCACAACCCCACCTCATCTCCACAACCCCACCTCATCTCCACAACCCCTCCTCATCTCCACAACCCCTCCTCATCTCTATAACCCCACCTCATCTCCACAACCCTTCCTTATCTCCAAAGATCCCTATGTGTGTATGTGTGTAGTGACAGAACAGGGGAAGTTATCAGCTCACAAGATTTCTGGCAGGATCAACAAGTATTGTTCACACTTATTAAACACATAAAACAAAACACATTCATATATTTAGTAAAGTTTCGTTTTTATTGCTCTCACTGCAGACTGGAGACCTCCAACTTCTTGGTTCCTCTCCCTGGAATACACTCTCCATATATTCCAATGGACAATCTACTAGGAGGCCAATGACGCTTTAGCGCTGACGTCATAAGGTCGGTGTCAATACCTAGAAGGTGTGTCCATAGGGCTTTGTGGAGAAAGCAATCCAGGAGAAGAAGGAATTTCAAACCTGGGACAACCGGGGGGTGGTGGGTGTCTAGAAATCTCCCCAAGAGGGTTATTGACTGTAATAAGGACAAAGATCAAACATGACCCTCTCCATCCAAAACTACAAAATAGGGAGTCACACTTCAAAGATTCCCGAGGATGTAAAGATTTCTTGTAGCTCCGAGGCAACGCGTCTCATCCTATTTTTTAGGATTTCTTGGGCAGGAAGACAAAATGTTTTCTTCCTTTTGGAGAGAGATGGAAGTCTTCCCCACTCTATTCAGAACTACATAACAACTCCCTTTACTGCCCCATGTCCCCATTTTCTTATCGTAGTTCTACTCTAACTTGTATTTGACTTCTGTTCTCCTTCCCTCCGTATCCCACCAACAGAAGAAACCTTTGGTTGATGATCGATCCTTGAACCCCGTACAATCCCTTCATTCAGTCCTTATCATAAATATATCCAAAATATCAACAACAACAGGTTATAAAGTAAGAACTCTGGAACTGCTTACTGTGGTACTAACCATCCTAGCGGATGGGGGATCTGCCCTACGGAGCCGGGAGATAGAGGGTAATAGGGAGATATATCCGGAGGGTGTGGAGGCCTCGGGATTCCTAGGAAAAACAAAAACAGGTCACGTTTAAAAGAGAGACATTGAAAAGGTCAACCAGAAGCACTGCAGGTATTTTTCAGGAAGTTTTCCCCCCCAAAAGATCATTACATACAATATATATAACTTGTTTTTATAGCTCTGAGGCAGGGTCGCCTTTAAGGAGGGGCAAAAGGGGCAGTTGCCCCCGGGCCCAGTCATTGTTGTGGGGTCCAAAGCAGCTGCCCCTTGAGCCCGCAAAAGATACACACGCGTCACCATTCTGATACCTGTGATACGCCAGCACTATATGACCTGTAGATACCCCCAGTGCTATATGACCTGTAGATACCACCAGTGCTATATGACCTGTAGATATCCCCAGCAGTATATGACATGTAGATACCCCCAGCACTATATGACCTGTAGGTACCCCCAGCACTATATGACTAAAAAAAAAAAAAAATAACAAAAAAAATAACAAAAAAAATAATAATAATAAATTAATATTTAAAACAAATTTCTAAACAAATTGAAAAATAATTCCTTTTTTTAGGTTTAGGTACAAAAAAGAAGAAGACTAAAACTGAGCTATGAAGGACAAAAATTGCACCAAAATAACGTGTGGGTCCTTTTTGCCCTTACCCCTGCTGGATACACCAACAAGACCCGATACAAAGTGTTACATTTTTAGTCGTTCGAAAATAAGTTACATTTGTAGCAAAAAAGAAGATAAAGCTCTTCAAGGGACGTACCTGTTTTGGGGTCCACATCCCCCTGTAAGTGTGGAGGGGGATTTCCGGGTGTAAAGTGCTCATTGCTGTAGGTGATAAGCGGTGTGAGTGGGTGGACATGGTGGGGATGTTGAACTACTGGAACTTTATTAGACTGTGGAGACACAAACAGAAGAAGTTTTCATGAAAGCCAGCTTCGCGGTATGAGCTCGATGAAGTATCTTTATCAATTCTAATAAATCGTCAGACACAGCGGGAAACGGAATAAACTCCGCCGCTCGCTGTCATTACACATAATACAGACAGATAATTATCCCAACTTCAAATATAGACATTTTTCCTTTTTTACTTGAGTTCTAACTTTTTACGAAGCCTTCAGACATAAAGCGGATATAATGTTCACATCGACGTGGCAGTGCATAGTGATTGCTCCGGTCAGCTGCATTATTAGCATTAATCTGATTAATAAATAACATTTAATATCATTTTTAAAATGAACCTGAAGTAGGAGAAGGCCTGTGTTTGCGCCAGTTGCGGCGGAGCTTGCATAGGACTCTCCCCCGCCCCTTTGACAGCACTAAGGCAGCTACTTACGTAGGCACCCAGCATTGCCGAGTGGGAGGTCACATGCTTCCTTATACTCCAAACAGAGCGGGAGAGGAGGGAGGGAAAGGTAAATACATGTGGGAGGATGTTCCTTTAGCCTTCCTTCGTGGGTGGTGACCAACAAAAAGCCCAGCTCCACACAATTTTTTGGATTTGAGCAGAGTGGGGAAGGGCTGGAACCTCTTTTGGGTTTCATTGTGTCAGGGACCAGAACACCTCCAGGTGGCGCTGGAGCAGATCCTGCAGTTCCAGTGCTCAACTGCAGGTGTCTCCAGGCAGCCAGTGGCTGTCAGGGACCTGAGCGCCGCACTGTGATGCTGGAACCAGGTCCTGCAGTTCCTATGCTCACCTGCAGGTGTCAGCAATTAGTCACCACATGGTGCTGATCTGGGAGGGTATTTAATCCCTCCCTGCAGTGAGGCTGGGGCCACAGTATTGTCGCCATTACCTGTATCCTGTTGCCTTAACCTGTGATCTGTTTCCTGTAACCTGGTGCCTCCTTGAACCCTGACTATTGGTCCATGGCTCCCCTCTTGTTGCCCTGCTCCCCAGGTTCACTTGCCCTGTTACCTTTTGTGTGTGATTTTGTTGTTTGCATTTAGTTGGCTATTATTACATAGTTACATAGTATTTGAGGTTGAATAAAGACATTAGTCCATCAAGTCCAACCTATTAGGATCTCATTCTAGGAGTACCTGTACCCCTGTATATTACCTGTACCCCTGTATATTACCCGTACCCCTGTATATTACCTGTACCCCTGTATATTACCTGTACCCCTGTATATTACCTGTACCCCTGTATATTACGGTCCCTTAAGAAATCGTCCAAAAGTTTCTTGAACAATTCCACATTATTTGCTGAGATCGCCGCCTGTGGCAGTGAGTTCCAGACCCTAACTGATCTCACTGTGAAGAACCCCCTTCGCCCCTTGTGCTGGAATTTTTTTTCCACCAATTTTAGGTGATGGCCTAACAGTTTTGTAA